GTGGCGGCTTTTGGGGTGCCCCAGCTGAGGTAGCTCCATGCTTGCAGGATGGGGCTGCTCAGCGTTGCTGAGCCCAGCCCCAGGCCCCAGCACCGCCTCGGAGGGCTCTGCCTGGACAGTGCCGGTGCAGCCCTACTGCCTCGCTTGGGTGCCCGCTGGGCAATGTGGGGTGACACTGCCCTGCCGCATAGTCCTCAGGAATCAGGAGGACGAGCCCCACTGGGGCTGTGCTGGAGCCCTGGAAGGTCTAGGAGGCTTTGGGGGTGCTGGGCTTTCCCCTTGCACTGGCTTGGGTATTGGCCTGTGCTGGGTGGCCCCTGGGGCTGGGGGCTGAGCCCCCAAGTGTAGTGGCCTGGGATGGGGGAGACTTTTAAAGAGGCTTTTCTCCCGCATCCTGGCCATGCAGGTTAGTCCCACTGCACAGGACACCCTGAACGCGGTGGGAGACCAGCCAGGGCAGCCCTGACCCTGAGCCGGGACTGGAGCCGGGGCAAGAGCGGGGTGCTGTGAGAACGGCTGGGCTGGGCGTCCCCTCCCCAGAGGGTGCTTCTCTTTAACGCAGCTGCCAGGGTCCCATCCTGACACGGAGCATCAGTCCGAGGCCTCCTGTAGCAGCGTCTGGTTTCCGATTTTTGCTACCTGAGAGCTCAGACATGTCCCCAGCCCCTTCCCACCCCCACGGCTCAGACCAGGCCAGTGCCAGGCAGACAAAACTGCGCGCTGGAGGAGCCATGGCTCTGCTCCAGGTGCTGCTTGAATTGATGGGCTGGCTTTTCTCACCGGCGCAAACTCAGTGCTCCTGGCCCCACTGCTGTCACGCCAAGCTGTGCTCGGCTGCAGCCCATCCCCTCACCAGGGCACAGGGGTCCCATCCGTCCCGGGGTGCTGGGCTGTGATGACCAGGCTCCACCAAGCCAGGCTCAGCAGCAGACTCTCCGCTGTCACTGCACCCCCGTTGGCAAGAGCCAGCAATATTGGAAACCAGATGCCCATTGCACCCAGAATTAGTTGCCCTTTGCCTCCTCTTCCCTCTCTTTACCTCTTGCCACCCCAATTCAAGCCCTCTCCAGGTGCTCCCGTCCTGTCCCCAGCCCACCTCCCCCTCTCCGGTCCTGCTGTCCCCACCTCGCCTTGGTGCTCTCCACCTCCAGCCCGCTCCGGCAGCCGCTGATGCTTCTGCGCTGTGTTGTGTCAGTGTCGGGGTGTCTGTCGGGGTGTTGGGGTGTCAAGGTCAGATCTCCGGAGAAGATGGGGTGTTTCTGACTGGACTTAGCTGCGGGGCTCAGTCCGGGCCATTGCCTTTCCTCGCTCTGGCTGGTGGAAAGATTCACTGAGATTTTTGCAGGCTGCAGCCAGCTCTGTGGGTTTGGGGGGCAAAGGGCCCTGTCAAAATATCCCCTGCTAACGGTGACCAGCCCAGTGATGGAGGTGGGTTTGGTGCCACCTCGTTTCCCACTTGCTGCAAGGGGGAGGGAGCAAGGACTCGTGCTGGTGTGAAACATTAACACTTTTTATTCCCCTCCTTTGCTGGCCCTGGCTGCCCACAGGCAATGGTAAGTGCCGTCCTTGGCGCCTGCCTGCCCCCAGCGCCCTGCGGGTCTCCCCCGGGGTTTCAGACATGTGGGAAGAGGCTCTGCCCAGTTGGGTTGAACTGGGAATGCCAGTGGTTCCAGTCCCGCTGCCCAGCGGGCTGAGCGGAGCAGCGCTTTGCAGCCCTCGGCGTCTCTCAGGGCTGTGCTGTCCCCACCGTCATCCCTGCGATGCACCGCCCATGGCCGGGACAGGGTGGGCTGTGCCCCGGGGACCTCCGTGAGAACTGGATGTTGCTGCCCTCCCATGCTGGGGCTTTTGCCCCCGACTGCTCCCTGGGAGCCCGAAGGGGATGGGAGGAGACTCCCTTGCTCTGTATAACTTGAGATTTGTTTTTCTTTCCGACAGTCCTTGGTGCAGTCCAGGAAAGCGGGAATCACATCTGCGCTGGCATCGAGCACCTTAAACAACGAGGAACTAGTAAGTGCTGCCTCCAACAGGCTGGGGCTCAGGGCGCTCACAGCAGGAGAGCTGAGCTGGGCCAGGTGGGTGTGCAAGGTCTGCTGGTGTGTGAGCTTTTCCTCCTCTCCCTTCTTCCCCCTGTAGAAAAACCATGTTTACAAGAAGACCCTGCAAGCCTTAGTGTACCCCATCTCCTGCACAACGCCCCACAACTTTGAGGTGTGGACAGCCACGACGCCCACCTACTGCTATGAGTGTGAAGGGCTGCTCTGGGGCATCGCCCGGCAGGGCATGCGCTGCGCCGAGTGTGGGGTGAAGTGTCATGAAAAGTGTCAGGACCTGCTCAATGCTGACTGCCTGCAGAGTAAGGAGCTGTCCTCCCCTCGGCCTCCTCCCTGCCTGGTGCGCTGCTGGTCCAGAGAGAGCTGGCAGTGATTAAGGAGACCAATTGTTGCCTCGTGCATGGGGGGAGGAGGTGATCAGGGCAGCTCTGCCCTAACTGGGGCACAAACCCCTCCAGGTTTGATTTTGTTCATCCCTAGTGCTGAGCTTGGAAGTGCTCAGCTCTCTCAGCATCTGTCCCTTCAGTGTCACCCATCACTGTTCTCTTCTCCCAGGGGCAGCGGAGAAGAGCTCCAAGCACGGAGCGGAGGACCGGACCCAAAACATCATCATGGTGCTCAAAGACCGCATGAAGATCCGGGAACGCAACAAGCCAGAGATCTTTGAGCTGATCCAGGAGGTGTTTGGCGTCACCAAGGCCACCCACACGCAGCAGATGAAGGCAGTGAAGCAGAGCGTCCTGGATGGCACCTCCAAATGGTCGGCCAAGATCAGCATCACAGGTAGGCACTGGCATCGCCTCCTCGGTCTGCAAGCCTGGCCTGTGCCACCACCATGGGGAACCCCCACGTCCCTGCCCCCATGTTCCCGGCTCCCTCCCTTGCCGATGGAGCATGTGGCATCCTGCCAGCATGTCCCTGCGGGCACGGTTCCAGCATTCCACCCCAAAACTGTACCCTCTATGAGCCAGCAGATTTGGGGCAGTAGTGGAGACATCTGCCCCTGGGTAGCAACGAATCCCAGGTGAAGGGAGGGCTCTGTGTGCGCCTACCTGAACTTTCATCCATCCCGGTCCCCTGAGGCTGAGAATCTGGCTTTCTCCCCTTGCACAAGGATGCTTCTTGCTTCAAGCCTCCTCCCATGCTGCAGAGCGGCTTTGGCCCAAGGGCTCTGGGGGTGGCGGGGGCGCCTGGGTGCCTGTCAGCTGGCTCCAGCGTGCGGGGGCACACGTTATCTGCTTGTTCTGGCCGCGGCATTGATTGCTCTCTCTGTCTGTTCTCTCTGTTGTGTGTTGTGTGGCCACGTGGTGCCATGTGTGTGCCTCTGTGTGGACGGGTGTGTGTGGCATGCTGTAGTTGTTTGTGCCCAGGGTCTGCAAGCCAAGGATAAGACAGGCTCCAGTGACCCGTATGTTACTGTTCAGGTTGGAAAGACGAAAAAAAGAACTAAAACTATCTACGGCAATCTCAATCCAGTCTGGGAGGAGAATTTCCATTTGTAAGTCTGCCCCGTGTACCTCTGTCCCTCCTCCCTGGCTGCTTACCGTCACACCGGGCTGCTTGCCATCTGGGCTGGCTTTTGGCCTGTCCTCTGCCCGCCAAGTGCCTGCTCCCATGCGGGGTGGTGGGAGTCGGGGGCCTGATCCTGCCCCAGGGACTCCCTGAGGGTGGAGGGGACCGCTGGGGTAACTGGGAGCCCAGTGCCAGGCTCCTTGGGCTCCCTGGGACAGGAATGGGGTCCTGCCAGCATTCCTGGGTTTCCCCACCTTGTGCTGTCCCCTGTCCTCAGCTCAAAAGCAGCACTGGTGCTGACGGCTCCGCGGCTGCAGCGTGGTGGCTGTTGGGGACAGCAAGACTTGGGCTGGGTCCTCCCATGAAGAAGAGGCAAAGCAGCTGGGTTTTGCCTTTCTGCTCAGTTTTGGGTCTGGTGAGGATCTAGGGCACCAGATTCCCCTCTTGACCCCAAATCGGTGCAGGTGACAGAGGGGATGGGTCCCTGGGGACAGGGGGGGAGGATTGTCCGCATGTGGTGGGGGGAGCTGGCATAGAGCCAAGGTCTCACTTTAGCATGCGGCTATCTTGGTTTTTATGGAGCTTAAGCCATGCACATTCTCGGGACATGCCAGGGAGGGTTTGGCTCCCAGCTGTTGGGGCCAGACGAGGCTCTGTCGCTTCTGCCCCAGCACGGTGCGGGGCCCCTTGGAGCCAGCCAAGAAGGATCAGTGCCCTGACAGCTGCTCTCTTTCCCAGCTCCAGCCTGGCGATGGCACTCCAGGTGCTTGCTGTGGGCAGTGAGGGACCGTCACTGGCTCTGATTTTGGGAAACTGAGGCCTGGGGAGCGGCTGGACAGGTTTCCCTGCTCACACTGGGGGCT